AACAAAAATCCCTACAAAAATCTATTTTTTCACGTGTTCCTGATTTAAACTTTTCCTAAAATGTTGATATAACCTAGATTTTAAGGAGTTTTTTCGAATGAGCTATCAAAAAACATAGAGTCCCGTGCAAAATTTGAGGGTTTTGCCCTGTTGAAGCTCAAAACGCGTATGATTCTTCAATAAAATCTTGTAGATTTTTCAGCGGTTTTTGAGCGCGCGCTCATCGTGGGCTCAAATCGAACGTTCAAAAGTAGGCAGCCACCTTAAAGCAAACATCGTAGCTTGCATTAGTGACACTTCTTTTTCTGTTTTGATTGGCGTTTAGTATGAAATTGTCTAATGAAAAAAACCAAATCTTGCGGCTTCGTGTAAACTCTCATCGTTTTCGACCGTTTACGCGAAAATGTTCCGTCGACACGAAAACGCTCATAGGAGCTAAATGAGCATGCACATAGTTCCTGAGCCTGCGATCTCTTTTCTTTAGCGACGTCAGCGTTTACGAAAACATCCGGCTTCGAGTGTTTGAAAAGCGTTTTCGAAAATAGCCGGCTAAAGACCGTGAAAAAAACAAATTATTTAGGCACGGATACACTGAGTAGCAAGCCGCTCAAAGGTAAACTTGGATCTTTAACCGTTTCTTTATAAATAAATATTTATTTTACGTCGTACTGAACACGGGGTGTCATGAAATAAACTCTAGTGTGACGTCCGATGCAGTAAGTTGTTTAAATTAAGGTGAGAATAAGATTATTCTTTTCCTGGTTCAATGTTTGTGCTTCAGTATTCAAGGTGATGACCCATTGATTTTCGTTTGCATACTTTACAAAATGACTATTTATTTTTACAATACAAGGACTTACTTTAGTAACCCGACTTTAACAAATTTATAAATCTAAAAACGCCTTAATTTAAGTCTGACTGACAGAATGACCGCTTATTCGTGTCCTACACTAGAAATATTTATAACTTTTAATCGAGGTCTACAGATTCAAAATTGGACAAACCAATCGAGTAACCGAATCTATTCATTTCTTTTCTTTTCACCTCTTGCTAACAATTTTTTTTTATTATAATATAAGCTTCCATAATTTTGCAACACCACCCACACCAACGGCAAGCAAGAGACAGAGAACAGCAGTACTGATTACCTGGAACAAACGAAGACAGAGCATTGAGAAAAGTCGTTTTATTTTAGCATCACTTATAAGCAAAACACCGAATCGAAATATGGCGATATTCA